TCTCTCTCTCTCTCTCTCTCTCACACACACACACACACACACACACACACACACACACACATACACACACACACACACACACACACAATCAGTTTTATGACTGTCGGTCATTTTCCTATTGTCTGTCTCCCCTCTGATTTTTCTAAGTATTTTTGTGTGTGCCCAACTGAGCACCCTTCGGTAGTGCCAAACAGTCGGTGGTTCCTCGTTTGGAGTGCCAACTGCACTCTTAGGGGGGGCACTCGGTTCGGGTTATTTGTGTTGCCTGTAGGTGATGACGGATGCTTGTCAGAGTGTCTCCCTGGCTCAGTGGGTGGTGGGAATCAATAGTCTGTGGGGTTCACCCGTGATGTGAGTAGGTGATGTGCTGCTTTGCTCCGTGTTGGATGTGTGGACGACCCTGTCTGCGCTCCACCACTGCCTTGCTGCCCGTTCCGCTTGCCTCGCAGGTTGTTCTTGGCATGCTGCTGTCTTTGCTGTGTGGTGTGGTCGGGTTGTGGTGTTGCCTTGCGCTTCGCTGCTTCGCTGCCTTGCCGCCGGTCCGCTGGTCGTGCCTTCCCGGTCCTTCGCTTGCGCGCCCTGTAGTTTGGTTGCCGTGTTGGGGTTGCCTTGTGCTCCTCAGCATGGTTGCTCTGCTGCTTGTCCGCTTGCCCTCTTGTCCCTTGCAGTGTGGTTGTCTTGGTCGTGTTGCCTGGTGCTTCACTGCTTGGGTGCCGTGCTGCGAGTTTGGCGTGCCGTGTCATTCCTTGCAGTCGTTTTTGGCGTTGTGCAGCCGTGTTGCCTCTACTGCACTGCCTGGTGCTACGCAGGGTTGCTGCCCGCTGCTATGTTCCGCTTGTGGACAGTCTGCCTTCAACAAGGGTCAAAGGGTTCATGATCCAAACCATCAATACGGGCATTCCGCAGATTGTCGAGGGTTCAGCCTCCTGACGAGTCGGTGCAACTCTGACAAAACAATCTTTCATCATCAGTTTTATTTTTTTCGGACTTTGCGTTTTTGGACTTGTGTTTTTCCTTGATGATTTGTGTGTTTGTGTGTTGGCGTGCCCTGTTGATTCATGGCTCACTGGTGTTCTTCTGCTTTCTCTTCCGTGTTCACCCAGTTGTTGCCTGTTGCTGGTTGTCTGCCTACCCGCCTCCTCTGTTCCCTCCAGCTTTTGTTCTTTGCTGTTGCTATTGTTTTTCTGTCCTTTCGCTTCACCCTTCCTCTCTCAACCGTCATTCTGAGTGTCTGCTGTTGTTGAAGTCTGAAGTCCTTTTGTACGTTGGCATGCCAGTCTCAGTCTTGGACTAGTGTTTGGCTGCACGTAGCCTTGCGATGTGCTGTTTTGGGGAAGGTCATCTGGTGTGAAGCTTTTATGCTGGGGTCTTGTATTCTTACCACACACACACACACACACACACACACACACACACACACACACACACACACACACACACACACACACACCTGTCTCTTATACACATCTAGA